CTGAGGTTAGCTAATCCTCTCATCAGGGTCCACGAGGAAATTTCTGTTGGGAGGCATTTTTAGAGGAGATGAATTCACATGCTCACCAACAAACACTGCTTTTAAAGGAGGAAGAAATAATGCCCTTCCACCAATACCTGATTTCTGTTCACACGAGATCCCAGACTGTAACACAGTGGGAAGCCACCCCTACCATGAGAGAGGAGGGGAGCTTCAGGATGTGAGGGACAACCCAGGGGTCAGTGTGTTCACTTTACGTGGGTTCCCGGGAGGACTCAAGCCTTTAATCTGCTTAGTCTGTGGTGGAACGGGAAACTGGAGCCATTGTTTTAGAACGTACCAGGCAGAAGAAGAGTTATGAAATCTTCTTGATGTGTCTGCTGTTCAGTTTGGCGATGGCTTGGGGGAGGAAGTGGTGGCTAGGGCCAGAGTGAAGGCAAGCTGGATGCTTTCCACATCAGCATCTAAAAATAAAACCCACTGCGACGCCTCTCTGTTCACCTCCTCCTGGCATCCCCGAATGTTTGGAGAACTTGAAATTTCAAGATGTAGAGAAAAGGCTCTTTGCAAAAATTGGAAACCAAGCCACTTGGCTGGTTTTTCAAAGTCAGCCGAGCCTCTGTGCACCACGATCCCAGGCTGGTGGGCCAATGGATGCTGGAGCTGGGGCGCTTGCCAGTCCCTAGGTGTCAGTGATTAAAGAGGATGAGAATAAGCCTGCTGCCAGCCACCACCCAGGATTTCCTGTCTCAAATGCGCTGAAGGGCATTGCCCCATTTTGTGCAGCCACCTGGTGATGTGAGTGGTGTTTTCATGTCCATTTTAGGGATTAGGAAACTGAGGCTCAGAATGCTGTGATTTCCCTTGGGGAGCTCAGCTGGGTTTGAGTGCAGTTGGTTTGTCTCTAAAGCCCATGGCTCTTCTGATACCTGGGTCTCCTCTGCATGTTAATAGACTCTTCCATTTACTAAACTCTTCCATTTACTTTGGCTGCTGTTTTAAAAAAGGATGTTGGGGCCTAGGGTCAGGAACCAAGACTGTTAAATGGTAGTGAGACATGCAGTGTTTGTCCTGGTCATGGGAGTTGTTCTTCCTGCTACTTAATGGCAGTAGTAACACTCCTGAGTGTTAGCATTTATCGGGTACTGCTGTATACCAGGCAGTGATGCCGTTTACTTGAAGGAAGTATTTGTGTGTCACCTCTCCAAGGCTGAGGGGAAGCACGTTTAAGAAAGTAAATCTTGCAGCTCCTCAGCTTCCTTATGTGCCGACCTGCTTGGGAAGGAGCTTGGAAACTCACGCTGGCCCTCCTCCCGTCTCTGCAGAGGCAGTAGTGCATGTATTGGGGGGGCAAGACCACATGGGTTCATGTTTCTGGCCGTGTGACCTTGGGCCAGCTACTTAACCGCTAGGTGCCTCAGGCTTCCTGTCTGTAAAATGGGGATAATAGTGGTGCCTGTCCCCTGGGATCTAGTGAGGACTGAGTTAATTTGGGTACTGTAGTTGGCACACAGGATGCTGGTCGTCTACAGGAGAACCCCATACTCATCACCCACAGGCAGATGTGAACCTGCTGGGTGCCCCTGGGGCATGCAGCCTTCCTGGGTGCCGTGTGGCTGCATGATCCTGGGCAGGTGAGGTAGTTTCAGATCTTTGCTTGCAATAAAACTGAAAGAGGGCTTGAGTGAGTTGTCTGCTGCTCAAACATTAAAAATGAGTTTTAGTAATAAATTACTGTGATCTTGCCATATAATTCTAAAGGAATTCAGAGAATTTGCTATGGCAAATCTCTTTGCATTCTGTCTTTTTATTTATTTGAATAGGTGCTTTCAGCCCTATAAAAATTGAAAAATGGAGATAGAATTGATAATAAACTCTGCTTTATTATAGCAATAGGTAATAGTCATCAGTGGATACATGAAGTACTTCTAAAAATTACCATATATTTCTTCTGAGATGTGTTTCTAATAAGGTTTAATTTTTATGATTATTACTTATATACTTTCGTGATATATTTCTGTTGTATCGATCAATTATGTACTAGTAGTAATTATAATAGGAATGCAGTCCAGAAGAAAGATTTTGACACTAACAGCTTTATGGTCAAATGAAATTGAAAAATTAAAACATTTATATACATATTTTTTTGTCTCATGGTAGGATAGACTAATCAACGAAAGGCCTTCAAACATAAAATACCCTAGTGGTAGAAACATGTCTGAGGGACGTGGATTGGAAATTGGGAGTTTGAGGAGGCAGAAAGAGCGTTGCTAGCTTTCTAAATAAATGTTTAAGAAGAATCTGATTCCGTAATTTTAAGATGAATGACGTTGCATCTCAAATTGCTGTGGTATTTAGATTCCACTGGATCCATTTAAAAGAGAAATAGTAACAGTCTTATTTTGAAATGTTAATATTTACAACATGTTGGAAATTACGTCCTCTACAAGCATTTAAACTTACTTAAACTTACGTTGAGAAATTTTAGATGTCAACTTGGGAATGTGCAAATAGATACCTAGTTTTAAACATTCATTTTGGGGGGGGTTGGTTTGAAGGCCACTGCTTCAGAGCATTACCCCATTTACTCCTCAGAATGAGGCTCTGGGTGGGTACCACCTTGGGGAAGGGGCAGCAGCTGGGCTCTCAGGCCATCCAGAGGCCCTGCTGGGGCTGGACCTGTGCCTCTGCTGAGACCCAGAAGGCCTTGGCAGTGGGCTTGTCTGTAGGCCAGCTGACCCCCTCTAACTGGGTCTGTTAGGCCAAGTGATGCTGGCTAATAAGGAACACCTGCCGTTACCTGCGTGGGTAACCATGAGAAGCCCCAGGTGAACCCAAATCCGGCAGGGCTGGAGGAGTGGAAGTCCCGCTCTGTGATCAGTGAAGGGGCTTAGGTGGGAGCACAAGGGGAGAGTGGGACAAGATGCCTTCCACTCTGTGTCCTGAGGGCC